AAAAAAAAAAAAAAAAAAAAAAAAAAAAAATTTTTTTAAAAAATTGCTGAACCTAAAAACAACCAAAAAAAAAAAAAAAAAAAAAAACACCAAAATCTTTAAATCTGGAAGACAAATCAAAGAAGAAAATCAGTAATGTTTTAGACAAAAGCCATAGATTTCTATTTTACCAGTTCAGCCTTACATAATCTCTTTTGTCATATTCGTAGTGCTACTGTGATCTGATCTTTCTGTTTAAATCCTGGAAGTTAATATTCAACGTTATTATTGATATTTCCAAACTTGTCCCTACCATTAAGTTAGCCTTTTTCTTGGTCACATTTTGTTCTCTTATTTCTGTCAGGCTTTAGTTTTCCTGGTATAGCACTCCCTTCAGAACTTCTCAAAGAGCTGGTCTGCTGTTGGTAAACTCCTTCAGGTTTTGTTTAGCTAAGAATGTTTCAAACTTTTCTTCCCATATGAAGGATGATCTTGCTGGATATAGTATTTTTGGTTTAAATTTTTTTTCACTTAACACTTTGAATATATTTTCCCATTCTTTCCTTGCTATAGATTAAGTGGGGTTTCTGGATGAGGGAAAATTAGATGCTTTGATTCAGTCTACCATCTTTTACATGGATATTCCAATAATCTGTATTCAGGAGACATATTTTGATATTTTAAGCAATTTCATTCCGTGTTTATGCTTCCTTTTGTTTCTGTAATTAAAGGTGTCACTGGTATTGTGTGGTGGAAGACTCTGTAAGCGGGACAAGAAGCGAAGTGGTTAGCACAGTGAGGCTAGGTTAGTAGGATTTGGTTTGGGGACAGAAAAGAGTTAATAGGATGGTGGGAGTGGAAGCAGTTAGAGGTAGGTAAGATGATTAGAGACTTTATCAAAAAGCTTGGACACCTGAGGCATAAGGCAGAAATACAGCTCCAGGAGCATTTATCTTCCTGGACTTCACCATTTTTTGTTCTTTTCACTTCTCATATTCTAAGAATTTCTTGTCTTACATTTCAGAGTTAACATTAAAACTACTACTGACACAATTTAAAAAACTGAACAAAGCTGTTTGCAAACACAGTATACATAGAATCTGTAAGAAAATATATACATAATACTAAATGAGTAATCAATATGCCTTTAATACATCAGAGCAACAAAGTTTCCATTTCAATGACTGAGCTGGCTGTTTGAGTGCTCTATTGGGTTCCTGCACCGAATTTGGCCTTTAACATACAGATTCACTTTGCTGGTTGTTGCTGCCCTCTGTTGGGCTTGTTGGGAAATGCAACTTCAATCCCACACAGATCACTTTCACTGTCATTATACCAAATCGAGCACTAGAACATGGATTTTTTTAAAGGATTGAATGTGTTTCTAATCCTGCTCCCCCAAAATCAAGAAAAACTTGTATTTTCCTTATTATTCTTAAAAAAGATGTGTTTACCTTTTTTATCTAAAGGCGATAGTGGCCATGAAATAGGAACTAGGCAGAAGAATTTGGAGAATGCAGAATTTTGGGGTTTTGAAGTCTGGAGACCTGAGTTCCATGTCCACTTCAGTCCCTAATCATGTGACTGATGAATTTCTCTGCCTGTCTGGGCTTTTAGTTTCTTCATTGATACAATGAAGAGGTGGAAGAGACTGACAGATTCTCCAGGGATTGGAATGTTATGTTAGGGAAACAACCTTATATTCAGTATTTGTTCATAAGTGTTACAATGACTTAAGTTTTAGGCTGTGTCAAAGCACAGTCTGGAAGCAATGGAGAAGGCAGACAATCAAGACCGTTAGTTGTAATCCACTATTGGTGCTATGAGGCAGGCAAGTCCCCATCACTATGGAAACATGAAGAAAGGTACCTATCCAATCAGGAAGTACCGTGCTGCAGGGCCTGTTGGAGTGATCCTTGAAGGCAGTGTAGTCTGAGAACGCAGCAGCCTAGGGAAGACTAGGGCGTGAGGCAGCGTGATCTGTTTGTAGACTTACAGCTCGTTCCGTTTGGCCAGATGACAGAGTTTGAGATGAAGGATTTGTTGTGAGGTGGTATTAGGGGGAAAAGCCAGGAGAGTCATCTGTTGTGCAAAAGAACTTGGGTTTTATCCTCAGGGTACTGGGGAGGTATTAAAGGGCTGTACATGGGGAAATGACATGCACAGGTTGGCGTTTTGGGATAGCGTATGGGGAATGGATGTGATGTGGGGCAGATAGAACTGACAGCAGGGACTTGAGCTGAGGAAGCTGTTGCAGGAAACAATAGCGGGTGAGCCGTGGCCGTGGAGCTGGACAGACGAATTGCTGGTTTCCCTTTCTTTAACTGAAGCAGCAGCTGTGAACAATCCAGCAACCACTGGTTATTTAGACCCAGGTTCTGTTACTGACATTATATTCATCCCAGAGTGTTTTGATTGCTGCTTGGTTCTAAGGGGACATTGTGAGTTGGGGGACAAGACTTTGGATGCAATTGGTCTGAGGACAAATAAGCTTAACCTTAGCTATGGCACCCTCAGCTGTATACATTCTTCCCCTCTGTGGCCTCGTTCCCCCTCTGTGCCAAGTGACTTAGGGCGGCGACAGAAGGAACTGTGGTGTTGGTCTCCTTGAGTGGTGCTGTCATCCTTTGTCTTTGCTCTCAGCAGGCAGTGCACGCAGAGGAGATGTGCATCCCATGGACACCAGTCACAGCTCGTGTGGTTTCCGGTGCATGATTAGCACTCAGCCAGTGGAGGCTTGACCTTTACATTGGGTTTAACTGAATTGTGATCATGGAGAACATGAACAAGATTGTAAAATTTTCTCGTTCATAGAAAGGTTAGAGGACTAGCCAGTGGCATGATTGAGGTGACTGGACCCGCATGGCTAACTGCGCAGTTGGAGTCCCAGACACCACAGCCTGATAAACACACTGGGTGCCTGTGTGTACATGTCCAGAATCCAGAGGAAAATGGAAGAAAAGGGATTGCAGCATAGCCACCCTCCTGCCGTGGTGTCAGGGGGATGCTTTCTTACTTTCCCCTTTTCTGTCTGTCTCTGCAGCTAGAGCACTCTCCCTCTAGTGAAAAAATCAAGATTAGAAAAATAGCTCTGCGTCAGGGACAGAACTAGTTCTTCATCAGTTAAGGAAGGTTAATCAAGAGGCATTTACTCTTGGAAGGACACTAAGAAAAAAATGATGGCTTAAAATTCAGTAATATGAAGAAAAAAATTCTGCTTTCCCAGACCTCGTTCAGACATTTTAAAAATACAGCATACATGTATACAGCAAAGAACATAAAACATACAGAATGATTGTAAACCGAGCACCCATGTAATCACCATCCTCAAGAAACAAACATTGTGAACGTCCCAGGAACCACTTTGTCCCCTTCTCCAGCCACAACTCTGCTCCCACCCCATGTAACAACTGCATTGACATTTGTGGCGATCTTTCTCTTTGTATTTTTACATGCTAAATAATAAAATATAGCTTTATGCATTCTTAAATTCAATGTAAATAAAATAATAGTATAACATTCTGTTTATAAGTAGCTGTAAATTAATTCACTTACTTTGCGTAATTGTTTTCCTGCCATGGACTTGGATATGCAGAGTGGTGCACATATCGAAAGACCCGTAGTCTAAATAAATTTAGCAAAGAAGGGCTGGGGATTCAAAAGAACTTGAACGCAGCCTTCTTTTGTGCTCCGTATTTATTGCGTGAAAGATCAGATTGCAAAAAATAAGGTACTTTGAAGTAAATAGGTGACCTTTTCTCAGCAAGCTTTATCATACATGTTTACGATGGAAGAGACTGTAAGTGTACAGTAGATGAGAAAGGATGAACATACAAACAGCAGGTTTCCTCCAAAACCAAGAACATCTTTAAGAAGGAAGTTAAAGATTTGCTTGGAAACACAAAGCATAGCATGTAAGAGCTATTATGTAGGACACAGGGCACATTAACCCAGTGGGACTTGGCTCGCTTCTCTGGGAAACAGGTTACAGGAGACTGCACACAGTCTCCCGTACTTGAGGACCTGGTATGCTAGGTCACTCAAGTTGTTTTCCAGCAGATCTGGGACATTGTCCTACAGGGTGGTCTCCACCATTTTCCATTTTACTAACAGACTAGTTTGTCACTCCACTCTTGATGGCTATTTGGATTGTTCCCTGTTTGTCACTCCACTCTTGATGGCTATTTGGATTGTTCCCTGTTTGTCACTCCACTCTTGATGGCTATTTGGATTGTTCCCTGTTTTAAGTGCTGTCTGGTTACTCTGAACACTCTTGTTACAAACATCCTGCATATGTGCCCGTTGCACCAGGGCAGATACATAGAAATCGACATGTTGGCTTGTAGTGATGTACATAATGAACGTAATACCTAGATAATCCCAGACTTTTCCAAAGCGGCCATGGCATTTACAGTTACCACACTGTGTGAGAACCGCTCTACTACTGGAGAGACAACTGTTTTTGCCCGTCTTGAGAGTACAAAATGATATCTCACGTGGCTTTAGTTTGCATTTCCTTGTTTTCTAATGAAGATGAGTACATTTCATAAGTTTATGGACACCTAGTTTAGTCTGTTCAATTTTCCATCTTTTTTTTTTTTTAAGCCATATGTTAGTGACCTGAAAACTCTTCCTAGCTCTTACCTGAGGGAGTGTGCTCAAGAATACTTGGACAGAGATCTTTAGCTTGTGGAAAGTAGCATAAGTCCTTTCCATTTATTTTCTCTTCCTTTTGTTGCCCAACCCATCTGGGGTTTGGGAGATTTCCTGGCATTTCAGTGATCTCTTCTCCCTCCATTTTCCTGTTTCCTAGACTCTGAAGCGGCTCATGGCAGATGAGGTAAGGACATTTTGTTTCACGTGCATGTTCTGGCTCCTTTCCTACACTACAGTATTTACCAGTCTCCATGCCTTTGACTTTCTGTAACCTGTAATGGTACGGGTTCTGTCCTCAGAGGATCTCAGGGCTTTTTCTAACTCTCTGCTGTGTTTGGCCCATTGCATGCATTTCTCTGGCACATTCATTTGCTGCTTCCAAAGTTAGGCATGCTCTTTAAACACCAAACTAACCGACTTGCAGTCTGGGTGCCACTCATATCACTTGAAGCCCCACTATGCTTGCAGATACTGTTATTTTCAAGTGAGTGGAGCTGATAAACTACAGCTTATTGGTGGCTGTTTTTGGTTCTAGCATATATACTTGAGGTTTGAGGAATGACTCCTCAGCATTCGAAAGACGAATATATCCCACATGGTATTCTTTGCTGGCTAGGCAAAGGGGATTTTGCAGAAATGTTAAACTTTTGTTACCTGCATAACACAAGTGCTATAACATATACAAAAGAAAGGTTTTAAGGCACTTACTTATTTAGCCTATGTAACTTATATTTATTAAAGCTGTAGACATTCTCGCCTCTGTCTTGGGGCCTGGCCGCATTTATTATGTTTCTAGCTAGAGGAAAAGAGAGGGCATTTTATTGAACTAGCTCCGCCCAGGAGATGCTTTCTCTTCTGTGCTACCAGAGGACTTAGAAATGACAGGGGGATCCCTAGTTTCCTTTTTAAGGAGAGATTTGAAACGTTAATACTTCAGTCCTTTTATCTTTGGGCTTAGATGCGAGTAGAGTCAGTATGCTAAGTTAGATAGAAGAAAGACTGATTTCTTTTTTTTTTTGTCAGAAGAGTCTTGAATTGCTCGTGAACCAGAAAAACCATGCATGTGTCAGAGGTTAAAGGGTTGGCCATTTGATGTGTGGTTTGTTATGTAAATGAAAATGTATCACTACTGATATTTTTTTCTTTTTCAGATAGAGAGATTTACCAGCATCAGAAGTAAGAAGGAGAAGGAAAAGCCCAATTCTGCTCATAGAAATTCTTCTGCATCATATGGAGATGATCCTACAGCACAGTCATTGCAGGATGTGTCCGATGAGCAAGTTCTAGTTCTCTTTGAGCAGATGCTGGTGAGTGTCCCACCCCAACTTGGTGCATCTTCCTGCGAATGCATTTATGGGCAGGGTGAGTTCTTTTTTGTGCGTAGTTCCCCCATAACTAGCCCTTTATTACAAATAATGACAGGTCTAATGTGGAATTTTTTAATATTAGTTCCATTGGGGCCAGCAGGTGGCATAGTAATTAAGGTTCTGGACTCCCTCATGGCTGACTGCGGTTCGAGTCCTGGACCTGGTAGCATGAAAAAATTATGCGGAGCACATGTACGTGCATGTCCAAGGTCCTGAGAGGAGAAAGAATCAAGGCATGGCCAACCCCCCTGGAGTGTGATATCTCACTTTTCCTCTTACCTGTTTCTCTCTGGCAAGCGCATGTACGCTATAGCAAGCAAACACCTTTAAAAAAAAATTGGACCCGTTAACTAGGGACTGAATATACAAGTACCAGTCCATAGAATTGGAGTCTGTGAGTTAGGCTCAGAAACATCTGATCACTGACCACCTTGTTAATGTCTGGCCCAGAACATGTTAGCCATGAGGACATGTGGAGTGGGTGGACCGACTCATGTGGTCGTGTGCAGTCCACCTTGTGTTAAGTCAGAGCAGTCAAGTGTTGAAACATGGTGAACTCTTTCTTTTTTTTTTTTTCTCTATAAGACAGATGTTTGCAGTTAGGGCGCGTGCGCTATGAAAGACAGAATACGAGAAATCACCACCCCCACCCCCCCCGGGGCAGGATGGTCCTGCTGTAATCTCTTCTCCTCTAGTCTCCTCTCGGGATTTTGGGCAAGCACACACACGTGCGTGATGTGAGTTTCAAGTCCCTGGGTCCAAGATTTGAACTGCAGTCAGCCCTTTAGGAGTCCAGCAACATAACTTCTACACCATCTGCTGGTCTCCACAGTGAGCTTTTATACAAAGAAGAAACTGAGAATTGGAACGGCATCTTTTGCCCAAGGTCCTCTATTTAGTGGTGAATCTGAAAGGTGAATGCTATTGTTTTAATCACTAGACTTTTGAAAATTACGTCTGAAGTCAGTTAAGTATGGAAGTTTATGCGGATGCGGGTTACTTTGCTGTCCTCAGTGAGGAACACTGTCACTAGTGATATGTTTTAGAAAGTTTTCAGTATGTGCTTATAAGGTTTCATAAAACCTAAGTGTATTGCATGAACATTTGGTCTTAGATTCACACAGAGACTAGTGGTAGGCCTAACTTAGTTAAGAGCATAGGCTTAAAATCCTTGACACAGGGCCTGGTAAATAATAAACATTGAGCCTGCACTATTATTATTCACTGAATCTTGCAATTTGCCTTTTTATGTTCTGAGAGCATCAAGAATCTCAAGAACAGGACCAGCCCATGGCCTGGTAGTTAAGGGAGCTGAATCTCATGTGACTGACTACATGATTTGAGTACTGGACAGCAGCTTCAAAAACATCCTGGGGGGCACCAGCAGTTAGTGTAGTGGCTATGTCACTGGACTCCCATGTAGTGAACTGCGGTTCGAGTCCTGGACACAGTTGCTTAGACTCACGCTGGGCGCATGTGTGTGCGTGCCCAAGATCCCGAGAGGAGAAAGGAGAAGGGATTGTGGCGTAGCCATCCCCCCCTGGGGGGTGATTTCTCGCTTTCTGTCTCTCTGTCTCTCTCCTTTCTGGCAAGCACATGTGCCCTACAGCAAAAAAAACCCTCCCCCCCCCCAAAAAAAAGAAAAAAAATCCTGGGCATGTATGTCCAAAATCCAAAAATGGAGGAGAAGGGATTGTGGCATGACCATGCCCCCTGGGGGGGGGTCCTTTCTCTCTCTCCCTATCTCTCTTTCTTTATCTCTCTATCACTCTCAAATAGCGAGTACACACACCGTCTGACAGATTTTTTTAAAAAAGAATCTTGGGGCCAGCAAATGGTGTGGTGGCTGGGGCGTTGGACTCCCACATGGCCAGCCACAGTTCAAGTCCTGGATTTGATGGCTTGCTTTCTCGCTTTCCCTCTCTCTCGCTCTCTATTTCTCTTTCTTACTCTGTCCCTCTCTGGTTAAAAATTTAAATAAATAAATAAATAAAATAATTCTTTAAAGAAAAAGAATCTTAAACATACGGTCTGGGGGCCAGCAAGTGATATAGTATTAAAGGCACCAGACTCCCGCGTGGACCACTGCGGTTCAAGTCCCGATCTGGTGGCTTGAGGATCACCCCAGGCACATGTGCATACGTGTGTCCAGAATCCCAGGAAGAAAATGGAGGAGGTGGGATAGCATCATGGCTACTCACTCTCAGGAATGACAGCCACGCCGCAGTCCTTTCTTCTTTATTCTCCTCCCAGAGGAGACACTTGTGCCTGTTGTGATTTTTCAAGCCACTGGATCTGGGACTTAAACTGCGGTCAGCCCTGCGAGAGTTTAGTGATATAACTGCTACACCATCTGTTGGACTTTAGGTCATTGTTTAAAAAAAAAAAAAAAAAAAATTGGGAACCAGCAGTTAGCGTAATGGCTATGTTGCTGGACTCCCACGTAGTCAACCGCGGTTCACGTCCCGGACCCGGTGGCTTAAAACTCACGCCGGGCGTGTGTGCGTGCGTGCCCAAGATCCCGAGAGGAGAATGGAGGAGAAGGGATTGCGGCGTGACCATCCCCCCTGGGGGATGATTTCTCGCTTTCTGTCTCTATGTCTCTCTCTGTCTGTCTGGCGAGCGCACGCGCCCTACAGTGAAAATCTCTCAAAAAAAAAAAAAAAAAGAAAAAAATTGTTAAATCATAATTCTAAATAAATTCATACTAATAGTCTCTTAAGTTTCATTTAACCTACATGTTTCCCTTCCCCTCTCTCTCTTTTCTTTTTTATTTTATTTAATTTTACTTATTATTTTTTAATTTGACTAGAGAGAGATGGAGGGGAAGAGAGAGAGAAAAAGTGAGAAAGAAAGACTCCAGGTTCGGGACTCGAACTGTGATTAACCCTGTGAAGAGTCCAAAGCCTTAACCACTGTGCCACCTGTTGGCTCCTCCCCTTTTTCAAAATAATTATTTAATTTTACTTATGTATAATAATTATTATTATTTAATTTGACCAGAAAAAGAGAGAAAGGGAAAGTGAGAAAGCAAGCTGCCAGATCTGGGATTTGAACCATAGTCAGCCATGTAGGAGTCCCACACCTCAACTACCACACCACCTGCCGGCCCCCTCTCTCTCCCTCTTTTTTTAAATATTTACAGTTGATATAAAAAAGTTGTTGAAGAAGCAGTTTGATCCATAGAGTTTCTCACACTCTGAAATTTGATGGTTGCATTGTTTGGTGTTGTCTTATTAGAAATCTGTATTTTTATGTAAGGTCTCTTGAATTTAAAATGTCGAGCTAGCCTTGCAAGCATGTTTTTTGTTTGGGGTCTGACTCAATCTGGAGGCCATCACTTTGCAATTTCTGTGTTTTGTGTGCAAAAGGAAAAAAGACACCATGAATTAAATCAGAAAAATTTCAGAATAAAAAATTGCTATTTATAGGAGAAACAATATATGCTTCTTTTTTCCTTTTGTACTTTCCTTTTCAAATACCATTCTGGACTTGTGAGGGTTAAATTTGTGCTCACTAAGGTGCTGGGCTCATAGCTGTACATGTAACAGGCTCAAACAGAACTTTTCCCCAAAACATACTCAGCACATTCCACGTTCTGTCTGTTAAGGGGCCTCTGCTGTATCACAGAATTTCTGGTTCATTCTTCATGAGAAAGGGGTTTGTACAGGGCCTGAGTTAACAGGGGTGGTGAGTGTTGAGGCCCTGGTGCTGGTGCAGATTTTGCTGGCATTTGGATGAAGCCAGTTGTATTTCAGTCTGAAGTTCTTCTTATTGCTCATCCTCAATACAAAAGACATTATGTGACTTTCATTCAATAGTTAAAGAAAAAAAGAAAAATTTCATCTGTATCAAGTCCATTTTTCTTAGAGAAAAAGTTAGTGTGTGTTTGTATAACAATGTCTATTAAGGAATTTATACTAAAATTTTAACCACATTTATCCCTGAAGAAGTCTCATCAGCTGTAATAGCTCAGATCTCTAGGAACCAGGAAAATTTATTCAGTAAGCATTGAATGTGCTCAACTCTTCACTAAGTGTACTAAATACTACACACTAAAATCTGGCCAGAAATTGAGGCAGTTTTGTTTTCTCTCCCTCTGCTAGCTGGACATGAACCTGAATGAGGAGAAACAGCAACCTCTGAGGGAGAAGGACATCACCATTAAGAGGGAGATGGTGTCCCAGTACTTGCACACCTCCAAGGCTGTAAGTCCGGGGCAGGTACCCACGACACACGGGACTGTGCCCTCCTTTTGGTCCTGTTTGTTTTGTCAGTTTTGTGTCACATTTTACATAATTGACATCAGTTACATTTCAATGTATTAAGTAAACCTACTCATAATTCTGCTCTTATTTCAATTCAAAGTTTTGTATACTTTTCTCTGCTGGAATCTTCACGAAGTATACATAGAGGATGGGATGGACAAGTCTGAGCCTCACGTAGTGTGGTGGTGTGTCTAATGAGCGTCTGTCCTGATATTATTTAAACTGCATTGACTGATACTGGTGCCCACTTTATGGCCGAGTCCAGTGTGTGCTAATCTCTCTCTATGCCTCTTGTCCAGGGCATGAGCCAAAAGGAGAGCTCTAGGTCTGCCATGATGTACATTCAGGAGTTGAGGTCAGGCTTGCGGGATATGCACCTGCTCAGCTGCCTGGAATCCCTTCGTGTCTCTCTCAACAACAACCCTGTCAGGTGAGGATTCTGAGGTGGTAACAGGAGTAAGAGCTCAGTGTTGGAGTTCACCCAGTGGTGATTGAAGATCATAGGAGTCGGAGTAGGGGAATGGTCTGTCTAGATTGGGAGTAAAGAGGTGCGAAGATAAGCTTTGTTTGGCAGCTAAATATTTGTTGATTTGATTTGATATTACAATGTAGTTTGTTCCTTACAGTTGGGTGCAAACATTTGGTGCTGAGGGCCTGGCCTCGTTATTGGACATCCTTAAACGACTTCATGATGAGAAAGAGGAGACTTCTGGGTGAGAATTTCCGAGTCTTTGTATCTTCTAGGTGGAGAATCATAGGGGACTTGGCTATTTGCTCTAAAGGAGAAAATAATAGTTAAATGTAAAGGTGGAGCCTAGGGAGATATCCTATAAGCTGAAGACGGGTTTATTGTAGCAGCGACTAGAGGATAAATGACGGTAGGTACATCAGGAAAGGGAGGAGGAGCTTACATTTCACAATGAAGAACATGGGACACATAACATACTACATTCGATAATTAGTCTCTCAACATAGGATCTTTCTTAGTCTGGAAATAGGATTTGATTTAGTCTAGAGCTGCCCTGTGGTCATAGACCCCATGTGGAAGTCTTAAAATATATTTGATCGGTTTGGGACTAACTTTATGGCAGTCTTCAGGATTGGACTACTTTGGGGGATACCTTGGACCATCTTAGGCCACCTTGAAGCCAGCCTGAACTAAAGTAACCTCTGTACCTCTCGAATCTTCCTGAAACAAAGACACATAGAGCCTCGGCCTCCTGCAGTACCTTCTCAGACTTGAAACCTTTGAAGTAGTGAGGCAAGGAGGAAAATGTTAAAGGGATGTTATGCAGGTAGAATTTAGCACTTCAGAGTCCAAAAAGAGTTAAAGAGAGGTTTATTATCATACTAAATTCTTGGATTACAAGAAGATTAGCCAAAGGTATTTCATGGGAAAGATCCCTCTTCACCTACCATTTTTGTCAGCGTTTCTGGAGAAAGTACTGTGGGCTAGAATTTACTCAGCTGCTACAATAGTCAGGAGTATTCCTAAGACCCATGTTTGAAGGTTGAAAAGTCAGCTGGGAAGGGGCTATACAGAATGAAGGGACTTCACTGATTATGTCTTCTCTATGCAGAAGTTACGATAGCCGCAACAAGCATGAGATCATTCGCTGCTTGAAAGCGTTTATGAACAACAAGGTGAGATTTTTTTTTTCCCATTCTCTTTCCAACTCTCATCTGGACTCCTATTTTTATCTTGTATTGACCAACCCAAAAGAAGGAACTCTAGGGGGGCCAGCATATGGTGTAATGATTATGTCGCGGGACTCCCACATAGTTGACCGCGGTTCAAATCCTGGACCCGATGGCTTAAAAAGAACTCATGCCGAGTGCATGTGCTTTGTGCCCAAAATCCCAAGAGGAGATTGGAGGAGAAGAGATTGCTGCGTGGTCATCTCCCTGGGGGGTGATTTCTCGCTTTCTCTCTCTCTTGGCGAGCACATACACCCTGTAGCAAAAATCTCTTTTACAAATAAAGGAACTCGGAATATGAGGTTCAAGACTTTGAGCCTTCCTTTTTAGTATCATATCTATATTTTCTTTGGCACATACATAACTCCTGTGAACTTTTTCCTAGTTCTGAACTCTGTTTCACAAGTTAGGCTCGATTTTCTTCCCCTTTCTTTTCTTTTGCTAATTCTTGAACTTCTTTACCTGTAGTTATTGGTTTGGGAAGATTTGCTTTACTCTCCGCTTGTTCATTTCTTTTTTTTTTTCCTTGTTTCCAGACTGTTCAAAGATTTTTATTCTCGGAAGACATGAAATTCTGTGTGTCTTCTGAAAAACTATTTTGTTATTTTCACCTCTGTCTACTATGTTGAGGTCAGGCTTGCGGGATATATTCTACCCATGTATTAGTTTGCTGGACTAACACAACCAGGTGTCTTAAATAGCAGAAACTTGACTATTCTGGTTCCAGAGGCCAGAAGTCCAAGATCAAGGTGTCCGCAGGGTTGTTCCTTCTGAGGCTGTGAAGGATGATCTGTTCCAACCCTCTGGCCTAGTCTCTGGGGGTTTGCTGGCAGTCTTTGGGATTGCTTGGCTTGTAGACGCCATCCTGATCTGTCTTTGCATTCACATTATGTTCTCCCCGGGTGCATGTCTGTATTCACATTTCCCCTTTTTATAAGGACAACAGTCATATTAGACCAGGAGCATACCCTACTTCACTGTGACTTATTGTCCTGTAACTAACTACATCTACAATGACTGTATTTCCAAATAAGATCACATTCTAAGGACTAGGAGTTAGGACTTCAGCACGTGAATTTGGGGAGGACACCATTCAACCTGTAACAGCCCCTAGGGTTTCCCTGGTTAGATGCTGTCTTCTTTAAGCCCCCTTCTCTGTTCTTGTCTTGCCAGTTTGGAATCAAGACCATGCTGGACACAGAAGAAGGAATCCTGCTGCTGGTCCGAGCCATGGATCCTGCCGTCCCCAACATGATGATTGATGCAGCCAAGCTGCTTTCTGCTCTTTGTATCCTGCCACAGCCAGAGGACATGTATGTGACCAGAGTCACTTGTTTATTCTCCATTCTCCTATTTACCAACTTCTCTTAGTCTAGCGGGAAACTGAGTTGCTTAAGTATTCACTTGGTCTTAAATACTAGGTGAGACTATATTGCTTCCTAGAAGTGAACATTGAGCGCCTTGATGTTTATTAAGAAGAGTAACTGAGAGTTGGGGGCATGCTGAATACCACTGGTTGTCAGAGTATACTGAGAGCAGGATAGCTTCCACATCTCCATTAATGTCTGCATTGTCTAGGACAAGGATGTCTTTTTGCTGTTTTGTTGTGATGTTTTTCTTTTATTCAGAAGTAACCAACGTTATTTTAAAAATCCAAGTGATGTGAGCCAGCTCCCTGGTGCAGTGGTAATGTGGTGCTAAAGAGAAGCTGAATCCTTCCTGGTGACCAGTTTGCAGTTGGAACCTCCAGCAGTCAGATGATATGTTCTGGGCATGTGTGTGAGGGCTGGATGGTTGAGGGAAGGGAGTTGTGGCATGACCAGACTCTCTAGACGGTGTTTCTCTCTTTCTCACTCACTCTCATGTGTGCACACACATGTTCTATCATGAATTGTTTTTTAAAAAATTTTAATTCAAACAGCAGAGAGGTACATAAAGTAAAAACAAGTTTTTTGTTGTTCATATAGGGTGTGTGCATTCGACAGAGAGAGAGAAAGTGAGAAATCTGTGGGGATGGCCATACCACAATTCCTTCTTCCTTCTCCTCTAGAACTTTGGTCATGCACATACACGTGTGTTTTTCCAAGCCACTGAGTTCTGGACTTGAACTACAAAGTCAGACATGTAAGATCCAGCTGCTTTAACCACCATGTCACTCAATGGCCTTAGAAAATAAAATTTAACAGCCTCATTCCTTCACCAAATCCTGTTCTAGGGAAATAACACTGATGGCCTAAGGGTTATGTTGCTAGACTTCCACATAGTTGACCACAGTTTGGGTCCTGGACCCAGTGGCTTAAACTCTTGCTGGGTGCATGTGCACACATGCCCAAAATCCCAAGAGGAGATTGGAAAAGGAGGGATTGCAGCATGGCCATCCCCCCTAAGGGGTGATTTCTTGCTTTCTGTCTCTGTATCTCCATCAAGTGCATGTGCCCTATAGCAAAAATCTCTCAAAAAGAGAAAGGAAATAACCACTGTTAATGACTTTTTACAGTCTCATAGATTTTTCTAAGCACAGTCAACCATCCTGCATTACCTTAATTCTAAGATTTTTTTTATAATTATTTAATTTTTATTTATTCAATTTTTTTTTAAATTTGACCAGAGAAAGACACACACACACACACACAGAGAAAAGGAAAGTGAGAAAGCAAGCCACCAGGTCCAGGACTGAAACCATGGTAGACCATATGGGAGTGTCCAGCTCCTTAACCAGCACACCACCTGCTGGTCCCAATTCTAAGATGTCTTTTGCCGCCACCAAAAAATAATATCTTAGAGCTCATGAATGGCAGCTCGTGCCCATAAAATCAACTGTAGGTATAGGATAGATTTATATTTTTTGGAAGGGTTTGGTTTAACAAAAGCTAAAACATACCATTCGTTCTTTTTCCTTTTTTAAATTTTTGAAATTTTTACCAAGAAGACATATGTGCTTACCATAGAGCAGGAGAGGGAGAGGGAGGAAGCACGCACTGATAGATTGTGGTCATGCTGCAATTCCTTCTCCTCCATTTTCCACCTTGTTGGGATTTTGGGCATGTTACACACACATACCCAGTGCATTTTTCAAGTCTCTGGGTCCAGGATTCCAACCACATTTGGCCATGTGGCATCCTACTTCTTTAACTACCTAACCACAGAGTCAGCCTTCAGCTTGTTTCTTTTTACTTAACAGTAGAACTTGGACATCCTTCTATGTTAGTAGTTACAGATCTACATGAATATGATTCATAGCTATTTAGCATCCTGTATGTATGGATGGATGTACAATGATTTATTTATCAAGTCTCCCATTGCTAGACTTTCAGGTAGGTAGAAAAAATTCTAGGCGAATAGAAAAAATTTTCGTATTATAAGTGATGTTATCAATGACATCCTTTTACATATATTCTTTAGTATTTATGTTGAATAGATTTCTAGAAGTAAACCAAATGGTATGTGCATTAGAAATTTGTTAGTACTATTAAATGCCTCTAGAAAAGTTGTTTAAATTTATATTACATAAAACAAGGGTCTTAATTTGGTGTCCATGGATGGAAGTCTAGGGATAGTGCATTTTTCTGAAGATATGGTCCCTCACTTTCAGTAGATTCTGGCCCCTACTCTAAGGATGGTGAGAGGAATAATGCGAGATATCTAGAGCGTTGATATGTCCTGTGTCCTAACCAGTCTGTGCCTCTTGTTAGCTACTTGTCATGCATGTCTGTGTCATGTCACCCATGCAGCACTCTCTCCTCTTTTCTCTTGGGCAGGAATGAAAGGGTTTTGGGGGCGATGACAGAAAGAGCTGAGATGGATGAGGTGGAACGTTTCCAGCCACTCCTGGATGGATTAAAAAGTGGGACCTCCATTGCACTTAAGGTATGCATAGCCCTGAACTTGGGTATAAAGTAGAATTTAGGATGGGAAGACAAAAGTTCAGTGAACATTTAATAGAGCACACGGATTGGTTCCTAATGATGCATTTTTTACTTTGGAGTTTGTTCTGAGGGGAAAATAACTAACCTACTTCTAGAAAGAAAAGAAAGAACTTTTCTTCATTGTGAGATGGGAAAAAGGTGCAGTATCTATTTCCAGACTAGTACAACCAAGGTCTGCAATAACATACCATCAAACCTTGGAATATTTAGACTTCTAAACTCTCCAGACCTGTACTCAAACCAGGTTTTAGTGCTCTAATAGAAAAATTATTCTAATAGCTTTTGTACCACATCTACTTGGTTATATTTGGGGGCCTCAAAGTACATGGAAAGAGGATGGAATCTTGATCTTTAAAAGTTAGTGTTGTTGGGCAGATGGTTGGTGGTTAAGGGCACTGGATTCCCATGTGGCCGATTGTGGTTCAAGTCCCAGGCCTGATGGCTTTCTTTCTTGCTTTCCCTTTCTCTCTCTCCCTGTCTCTCTAGTCAAATTACAGAAATAATGATAACAAATAGAATTTAATAAATAATTTTTTAAAAATAAAATAAATAAAAGCATTGATGTAGCTGCTGGGATTTCTTATTTTAGGTGGGCTGCCTACAGCTGATCAATGCACTCATCACACCAGCTGAAGAACTTGACTTCCGAGTTCACATTCGGAGTGAACTGATGCGCTTGGGGCTACATCAGGTGTTGCAGGTATGATACAACATTCGTTGGAAAGGCTGGGCTGGTTCCTTCTTGCTCTGGCAGCCCCAGTCATTCCTGAGATAATTCTGGTCTGTAATTTAAAAAACATGTTGAAAGGTTTGGATTTTAGCCACAGAAGACTCTTCTGGATTTTCTAACTTCTACTTTTCTCACTGACAGGACCTTCGAAAGATTGAAAATGACGATATGAAAGTACAGCTAAGTGTGTTCGATGAACACGGGGATGAGGATTCCTATGACTTGAAGGGACGTCTGGATGACATTCGCATCGAGATGGAATATCCTTTTACTGACTGGGGTCAAGAGAGATGAGACTTCCAATGCATTCACTTGCAGGTCCCTGTATGGAAGGAAGGGTATGGGGAATGATGACTCAGAACAGGGCATCAGGCTTATGTGTCTTCTCAGTAAATAAGGCCAACGTCCTTTTATTGCTGCTGGCATTATTTACCTCAGCATGGCTTAGGAAAGTCAGCAAGGGTAATCAGAGGGTTGCTGAGTGGGGAAGCAGCCATCGGAATCTATAAACTGCCTAGAATGTGACAGCTTAGCTTACGGAGATGTAGGTTTATACTGACAAAGGGAATAATTAATCAGTACAAATTAATGTTTGCCACAAGTGACTTTGAGGAGGTTATCTTTTAGTTTTTGTTTGCTGCTTGATCTTCAGGCTAATTACTAGGAGTCCTCTGTCTCTGTGTATAGTAACACCCAACTCATTGGTCCTTCATTAAAGGAAGTTTAGAGAACTTAAAAACTTTCTGATAATATTTATAGGAGGAATAGCCATTAGAGTGAAAGTAGTATCTAGCTGCTTTTCCCTAGCTTCTCCAAGAGTCTGGTAAGCCACCTTTCAAACACAGTTTCTAAATACTTGATTTCCTTAGCTTGGTCCCCTTGTCCACTGACTTTAGCGAAGTCTTCCAGATTCTCCTAAACACAGTGAAGGACTCAAAGGCAGAGCCACACTTCCTGTCCATCCTGCAGCACCTACTGTTGGTCCGAAATGACTATGAGGCCAGGTAAGAGGGTGTGTCTGAGGGAGGTTTCAAGTTAGACCTAAGTGGAGAAAGCAAAATTCCTTTTAATTCAAAAATTGCTCTGGGACCAGTGGTTGGCATAATGGCTATGTCCCTGGACTCCCTGTAGCCGACTGCGGTTCGAGTCCTGGACCCGGTGGCTTAAACTTAAGCCAGGAGCGTGTATTTGCGTGCCCAAGATCCTGAGAGGAGAATGGAGGGGAAAGGATTGTGGCGTGGCCATCCCCCGTCGGGGGTGATTTCTCAAACTTTTCTGTCTTTCTGGCAAGTGCACGTGCCCTATAGTGAAAACATTTTTTTTAAAAAAAATTGCTGTGTAACAGGAAAAAGAAAAAACACAGAGGAAGGTTTGGGATTCATTAGTTAAAGATTTAAAGGAAGTTGTTGATTGTCTCTGTGATCCAACTAAATGGCATCCCCATGGAAGAAGTCAGAGATGCCCTTTTTGATGAGGATTCCTATGACTTGAAGGGACGTCTGGATGACATTCGCATCGAGATGGAATATCCTTTTACTGACTGGGGTCAAGAGAGATGAGACTTCCAATGCATTCACTTGCAGGTCCCTGTATGGAAGGAAGGGTATGGGGAATGATGACTCAGAACAGGGCATCAGGCTTATGTGTCTTCTCAGTAAATAAGGCCAACGTCCTTTTATTGCTGCTGGCATTATTTACCTCAGCATGGCTTAGGAAAGTCAGCAAGGGTAATCAGAGGGTTGCTGAGTGGGGAAGCAGCCATCGGAATCTATAAACTGCCTAGAATGTGACAGCTTAGCTTACGGAGATGTAGGTTTATACTGACAAAGGGAATAATTAATCAGTACAAATTAATGTTTGCCACAAGTGACTTTGAGGAGGTTATCTTTTAGTTTTTGTTTGCTGCTTGATCTTCAGGCTAATTACTAGGAGTCCTCTGTCTCTGTGTATAGTAACACCCAACTCATTGGTCCTTCATTAAAGGAAGTTTAGAGAACTTAAAAACTTTCTGATAATATTTATAGGAGGAATAGCCATTAGAGTGAAAGTAGTATCTAGCTGCTTTTCCCTAGCTTCTCCAAGAGTCTGGTAAGCCACCTTTCAAACACAGTTTCTAAATACTTGATTTCCTTAGCTTGGTCCCCTTGTCCACTGACTTTAGCGAAGTCTTCCAGATTCTCCTAAACACAGTGAAGGACTCAAAGGCAGAGCCACACTTCCTGTCCATCCTGCAGCACCTACTGTTGGTCCGAAATGACTATGAGGCCAGGTAAGAGGGTGTGTCTGAGGGAGGTTTCAAGTTAGACCTAAGTGGAGAAAGCAAAATTCCTTTTAATTCAAAAATTGCTCTGGGACCAGTGGTTGGCATAATGGCTATGTCCCTGGACTCCCTGTAGCCGACTGCGGTTCGAGTCCTGGACCCGGTGGCTTAAACTTAAGCCAGGAGCGTGTATTTGCGTGCCCAAGATCCTGAGAGGAGAATGGAGGGGAAAGGATTGTGGCGTGGCCATCCCCCGTCGGGGGTGATTTCTCAAACTTTTCTGTCTTTCTGGCAAGTGCACGTGCCCTATAGTGAAAACATTTTTTTTAAAAAAAATTGCTGTGTAACAGGAAAAAGAAAAAACACAGAGGAAGGTTTGGGATTCATTAGTTAAAGATTTAAAGGAAGTTGTTGATTGTCTCTGTGATCCAACTAAATGGCATCCCCATGGAAGAAGTCAGAGATGCCCTTTTTGGAGTGGAGTTGGGTAAAGACAACTTTTTATTATTCTTATTGTTATTATTATTATTATTATCATTTAGGTTTTTGCTATAGGATGTGTGCTTGCCAGAGAGTCAGAGGGACAGAGACAAGAAGTACAAAGTCACTCCCCAGGGTGGATCCAGGCCATGCCTCATCCCCTTCTCATCTCCTTTTGGGAGTTTGGGCATGCACACACACCTGGCGTGATTTTCAAGCCACCGAGTCTGGAACTTGAACCATACTTGGCCATGTGGAAGTCCAGCATCTTACCACTATGCCACCTGCTTGCCCCTCAAGCCTGAATTTTTAGATGGAAAAAAATCTCAGCACTGGAAGTCAGACTGCAAGAAGTTCTGATTATCTGAAGTAGATGGGTTAGCTGATGCCAAAGGGGGTTTCTTAGCAAGTAGTGCTACTTTGTTAACTTTATGAAAGATTCTTATCCAGAACACTTATACCTTCAAATCTCTCTGTTGTCAAAGCAGTTAACTTTTCTGGATCCCGATGCTTCTGAGAATTATATTTTAATTTTCCTTTGATAATCTTGTTTTGTTTCTTCTCTAGGCCACAGTACTATAAGTTGATTGAAGAATGTATTTCTCAAATAGTTCTGCACAAAAATGGGGCTGATCCTGACTTCAAGTGCCGACACCTCCACATTGATATTGAGGGCTTGATTGGTGAGCATACCCTGTGCCTGGTACCTCAGAGCACTGTGTGTCTTTCATTTTGTATCACTTTTCTCAGTGGAAAATTTTTAGAGACAGTGTGTTTCAAATTCCCATGTATTTTCTTTTTTGTCCTTTCTGAAATCATAACCAACATCTTTGCTAGGAAGATATGGGCTTTTAGTTTATTTCCACATAAGTCTAAAAACTTGTCCCTTCTCCCACACTACTAGCTTTGATTGGGACATCAGCTATTATTGATGACTCCTGCTGGTCTCAGAGGTTTTTGTTGGTTTGGTTGTTTTTTTTTTTTTTTAAAGAATTAATTTAATTAAATTAATTTATTTATTTGTAAAATTTTGACCAGAGGAAGAGAGAGAGGGGAAGTGAGAAAGCAGACCACCAGATCTGGGACTTGAATTGCAGCCTGCCACGTGGGAGTGCAGTGCCTTAACCACCTCACCAAGAAAGTTTTAAGTGTCACTCAGGCATTTTTCATGCCACTCAGCATGGTATCCTCACCATGCACTCAGAAATTACATGATGAACTTAAGTTCCATTTCTTCGTCTAGTATGGAACATTAAGAATACTAATAAAAATATCCAAAAGGATGAAAGATTGTTCTTTAGTTATATTGAAGGGCTTAGGTATGAGAGGAGAAGACCAAGAGAACTGGGGGCTCTACTTACTGACTGTTCTTTTCAGATCAAATGATTGATAAGACCAAGGTGGAGAAATCAGAAGCCAAAGCAACGGAGCTAGAAAAAAAGGTACATGAGGGATCAGAAAAAAATGTGTTTGGGGTATATCTTTGTTTTTTGTTTTGTTTTGTTTTGTTTTTTAATTGCCAGAGAGCTTATGTGCTCACCAATGAGAGAGAGAATCCCCTACTTCCCATGGGGCATCGTCACACCACAATCATCTTTCCTCCATTTTTTCCATCCCATTGGATATGGAGTGTGCACACACAGGCACCTGGTGTGCTTTTCAAGCCTCGAGGGCTGAGATTTGAACTGTGGTCAGCCATGTAGGACCTGACTCCTTATGCACAGGGCTTCACCACTGTGCTTTGGGGCCAGCCCATGGGGTATATCTTTTTTCTTTGTCTGAGGATTAACTGTTCTTTTTCTGGTGTGTGAAAACGTTTTTGTCGATGGTATTTTAGTTCCCAGGGAGAGGGCTTTCTAACATAAGTCAATCGTTGGAGGAAGTGGTATGGGTGTGATCTTGAGAAGAGAGGTGGGCTTCTGTAGTTCTTGGGCTGCTGGGTAGGACAAGAAAGGACGGACTCATTATAATTGATATACTTGTCCTAGTTCGATGTCTTTAATACCATAGGTTGCTTTTTGTTTTTACTCCCATAGGAAGACTATGGAAATGATCACTGGTTTCCTTTTCCTTTAACCTTGGTTTTAATGTCAAAATCATTGTCTTTATCTTGGTATTCTGTTGGTAACAGAAATACCCGAGATTGGATGATTTATTTTTTTTTATTTTATTTATTATTATTATTTTTTAAAATTTGCTATAGGGTACATGCACTCACTAGAGAGAGAGAAAGAGAAAGTGAGAAAGTGAGAAAGCAAGCCGCCAGGTCCAGGACTTGAACTGCAGTAGGCCATGTGGGAATCCAGTGCCTTAACCACTTCACCACATGCTGGCCCAAAGACTGGGTGATTTATAAAAATAGAGGTTCATTCAGCTCACAGGGTGGGGATCCAGGACTTAGGGACTAACTTCGGATGAGGCTACATGGTGGAGGGTAGAATTCTGAGCCAAGAACTATCCACAAATGATAAATCTCTGCCTGTTCTCACCTCCTTCCTTCTCTTATAAACCCACCAGAACTCAATTATGTCCCAGGGAACATCACACCAAAGGTCCCACTCTGGGACACTGTGAAGGAATTAAGTTTTCCCTTAATACTTTTCAGTACAACTAAGTCCCAACCCATGAATCTCAGGGATATCTGGACCACAGCAGTCCTGGTGCTCTTTCTCCCCAGGCATTGCCTGAGCTGTGGTCACGTAGGATATAGATCAGATATTGGCAGAAAACAGGAAATTATGGGAGTAATACTTGGGCTTCTTACTGAGATGGAAAGCTTGCTGGAAGCCTATTTTTTTTCTTCCTCCTTTAGCTGGACTCAGAATTAACAGCCCGGCATGAGCTACAGGTGGAAATGAAAAAGATGGAAAGTGACTTTGAGCAGAAGCTTCAGGATCTCCAGGGGAAAAAGGATGCACTGGATTCTGAAAAGCAACAAATTGCCATAGAGAAACAGGACCTGGAAGCAGAGGTGTCCCAGCTCACGGGAGAGGTAACTTCTCAGCAGTGGGGACCTGTAACTGCAGTCTGCAGCCTCAGGATGCAGGAGTCAGTCATCCTGCCCCTAGTAAGAGTGTAGCTACTAGTAGTGATCTAGTTAGATAGTACTTTTCTTTCTTCTTCATTTGCCAGAGGGCACATGTGTTCGCTAGAGAGAGAGAGAAGGAAAGTCAGAGAGCACCTGCCCAGGGGTGACGGTCATGCCACAATTCCTTTTCCTCCATTTTCCCCCCCTTTCAGGATTTTGGGTGTGTACGCACACACACATAATTGCTGTGGTTTTCAAGCCGCTGGGTCCAAGATTCAAACTGCATAGTCACCCATGCAGGATCCACTGTTTTAATCACCACACCGCTGTCTGGCCCAGTGGTACTTATTTTTTAAATTTGTTTTTGTGATAAATAATATATAAGACATAGTTTGGGGAAATAAAATGAGTTACATACAGTATAACCCAGAAGGAAAGATAGTAGTCTTCTGATAAACTTGGGTGTCAGAACTAAACTGTTTATCTAATTTCCTAACTTTCTGTTACTTTTAGTTATCTCTGGACAGATTTGTCCCCACATATATTTTCTCTGCAGTTAAAAATATTTAAATGCCATGCGATGTCTGATAACTTAATCATTCGTATGGTTATATAATTACCTGTGTAGCACATATAAAGGGACTTCAAGGAATTATGTGAAAATAGAACTAAAATATAATTTTGTTTTAGCAAAAATATGGAAAAATCTGTACATGGTTTTTTCATAATATGCATTTTCCACAAACTTGAGAACCTTTTATATGTTAGTTATGTAACTAGGATATTTGACTTATTTGACCTTTACCTTTCTAATAAAAGGGACAGTATGATATAAAGGTCGAAGCTGTCTTTTTAACACAAACCATGCTGAACTCAGAACACAAAGACATGAATTCTAGTTTTGGCTCTGCCACTAAGTAGCAGTGTGACTTTAGGCAAATCATAGACTCCCCCTCAGTCCCTGTGCCAAATGGGAAGTTTGGATTAAGTGTTTCTGAGATGCCTTCCAGCCCCAGTATCCTGCAGTTGGGTGAGAGGTGCTCACATGAAGGTTGTTTCTATAGGTTGCCAAGCTGTCGAAGGAACTGGAAGACGCCAAGAAAGAAATGGCTTCCCTGTCTGCCGCAGCTGCTGTGGCTTCTGTTCCTTGCAGTGCTGTTTCCCCTGCCCCTCCTTTACCTGGTGCCTCTGGCACTGTGCCACCCCCAGCCCCTCC